CTATATATCTACATTCGCTTATTTACCATCAGGTCCATGTAGCTACTGTTAAAAGTGCTACCTTAAATAAACATAGATACCAAACATTTAAGTACTGAATGGCCTTGGTATGGCCTCATTTCTTCAAAGATGCATCCTTCATTATTACCTTACATTTTGAATGGTGGTTTGCTGATGCCCCTGACCCTGAGAAAGAACTACGAGCCAAAGTTCTTTAAACGTGGTAAGACAGACACATTGCATGAAAGGCCTTGTGTTTATTTCTTAGCTTCCAGGGGAAATTCACATTTACAAATAAGGGGGGTTTTTTAATTGCTTTTACTTTTCCACTTGAATCTTTAAAGAGAATTGTAACACATTAACCATTGAAAGAAAGAGATTTTTTCTTATTATCTTGGAACCTTTATTAATTTAATAATTAGTGTTTTATAGATTAATACAATTTACATCGTAAAACACTTTTTTGATCCCTAAATGTATGTAATATTTTTCCATGTTGCTTCCCATTTGGTTTCTAAATGTTTTCAAATCGATTGACATGATATTCTTTCAAATCCCTTTTCCTAAGCCTCTTAAAAGAAAAGATTTATCCACCCTCACTCATAATAACATCAGAAAGCATTCTCCCAGAGAAGCTCCAAAACTGAAAGAATTATATGCTTTCATACTAATTTTAAAAATCGTGCAGATTACATTGCCTATTTTTTATTTTACATTCCACGAAGAGAAAGAATAGTCGAATTTTTCTTTTCTTGTACTCAAACTCCTGTGCAGGGTCATTCTCTTCTAGATAGATTCCAAGTAGTATGCTATCTATACATCAGATAATAAGTGTGTTATAATGTCATCACCACACAGCTCCTTTTGTATATACTCGTCAACAGACATGCTTAAAGTATTGCCGCACTCAACCATGATATCCTGCCTTGGTCACAGAGGTGCTCCTGAAAATTTCTGTACACAACCTGTTATATTTACTAGGTTCCGAAGTTTGTGGATTGCTTGGGAGATTGCACTGGCATTTGAGAGTTAGACTGACGAGACTGCAAGTTTTTGATGTAGCTCTGGATTAGCTTTTCATTGGTTGGAGTCAAGGAAAATGGTGGGTTCAACGGGAGATTCATCGCTTCTCCCACAATGAATGAAAGCAGAAGCTTTGCTTTAGAGTAGGCTGCCACCGCACTATCTCTGTTTCCCATGTACTCGTCTACCTGGAACATGTTGAAAAAAAAAAACACCTAAGAGGTTTGCTTTGATTTTTATTTGTAAAAAAATTCAAATTCTGAACAAAGAGAATAAAGGTCTGCAAATGAACAAGTTACTTACAGCACCACTTTTCCCAATAGCAAGTGCCCTCTGATATATAATGTCCATGGCATCAGGCATCTCAGCAGAAGCTGCATATATTTGATATATCTTGAGTATACTAAAAACCTTAGGGCAGTAAGATAAAAATAACTGAGAAAGCAAAATTTCATATTGATATTCTAACCATCCATATCTTGGAGATGGTATGATTGCTTCTCCGTACGATGAAATGCAGTGACAAAACCTTCTTCAGCCCATGTGCAAGCAGATGACGGACTGGTGAAGTTAATAGTAGATTCTGAATTTGAAGGCAAGCCTGCAAAATACTGTGCACCTGTTTGTTCAATGGCTGAATTAATTCCAGGTTCACTATACCCAGTGGAGGCCATCCAGGAGCTACAAATCTGATGAGCTTTCTTCCATATAGCTAAAATGACAAGTTCCACTGAGAATGATTCTAGAAACAGACCTGCATTATACTGCAGCCAAGAGTATTCTTAAAAGGTTTCATTCAATGTAATAATAGTACATATCAGACACCTAAAAATGATTTATTATGCAGCTTGACATGGTAATGCTGGTGCCAATTTACAAAATATTATAAGAGAAGAGTTGCTTTCAGAAAAATTCAATGATTAATAAAAGTCCTCCAATCAAAAGTGAATTAAATCCAGATTAAACATATGTGTAGGGGAATTCTGTAAATGTTCTGCACACTGTTTTGAGTGATAATTACACCACTTTATAGTAAAAATTTCTACTTCTCTATCCATAAAGCAGAAAAAAGGCTAAAGCTAGCGTGCGTGGCATTATGCTCCCCATCATTTGATTCAGTCAGCAAAAACCACAAGGAACTAGTAGTAATATGGGAAGAAAGTTTTAAAAAGCTCACCTTTTCATGAGCTAATTCCGTGAGAGCATGAACATACTGATGTAACAGGTGGAGTCTAGTTGAGGGACCCTGGATGCTAAGTCCTTGCAGTTCCCTTGAAATGGTTGCTTCAGATGATGTTGATGGTGAGTCCAGTCCATGAACATGTAGACCAGTGAACTGCCTTTTTTGCACAACACCTTCTGATTCCTGTTCATTCTTCTTTGCTTGGCAGTTGGAAAGTCCAGTAGAATCTTGCACTGATGTCTCAAGGTGATAGGAAAATGTCTCTGTTGAACCATAATGAGGGTTGACAAGAACATAGTCTCTCTCAATTGACTCCATTGAATCAGTAACTGGATATAGAGAAAGCAAGGAACTTAGATTGAAGGGAAATGTTTGACCATAAATACCAACAGCTTATGAAGAAAATCTAACCTCTAGGTTGATCTATTGAAAATTTACCACAGGCACCTTTCATGCTGGATGAACTACATGATACTGCATCATTCACAGTGGTACTGGATGATTTTAGTTTCCTGCTAGAAGACTTCACAGGATACCCAGAATGCAGCTGGGGTCTTTTCTCAGAGAGAGAAGAATCAAACTGCTCTACCATTACTTTTGATTGAGGAAGTGGCATCTCGACATTTGCCGTCTGCCTGTAAAAATGCATAATTAAATCCAGGAAACATGAGTACTTTGACTGCTAAATCATACATTAAAGAACAACATCAAATTCAAGATTAGGATGTTACCTTGACTCCACCAAGAACTTGTGACTGAAGAATTCTTTAAATGTCAGGCGCTCAACTGCAAATAAAAGTTCCATATAAATTATTGAAGTAATGCAAATGAACTGTATGTCTCAACTATTTGCAAGCAATGGCAAGAACAAAAATTTTCACTCTCTTGACCATAGTCATAAATCAAGAGCCTATTCTCATTAATGTTTAACAAAAATCATTCAAATAAAAAAAAATTAAATTTGCCAAAAAAAAAAGGGGAATACCAGGGTTTCGACGTAAAAGACTTCTGCAAAGAGCAACACAGTCTGGATGTAGTTCGCCTAAGGCACCTTCTGGAAACTGCAGTTCAGTGGATGCCAAAATTTTCTGGAAAAGCTGTGTACAGCAAAGAATCAGTTAAACAGCTATTAAACTCAACATACAACAATCCTTATTTTTTACACAAATACCTGCAATTGATTATTGCCATCAAAAGGTGGCTTCCCTGTCACCAGTTGAAACAATATTGCACCTACACTCCACAAGTCCGCCTGCAAACACCAACCACAGGACTAAGTAAAAGATGGTGAAAGCAGAATCCGAGTTGTCATTTTAATATAAGTGCATCACCTTAGCATCATACTTCTGATTCTGTATAATCTCTGGAGCCATGTACAATGGTGAACCGCATAGGGTATCAGCCAAGTCTTGAGGAGTCAGGGATCTGTGGGTACAGAGTACAAGGTTTAAAACTTCTTTCCATAAGTAACTAACAATCCAAGTTTTTGAAGGTTCCACATATCATAGAAATTACAAGATTGGTTCTTAACTCTCATGAAGGCTCTACTATGACGTGACGTTGTCACTGACTAGGTGATTGATATAACAGATGGAATAACATTTACATGCCAACTAAACAGAATAAAGTTCTTTCCAATATAATAATAAAGAATATAACTGTAATAAAGACAACAAAAGAAGAATATAACCATAGTAAAAAAGTGAGGGCCAAAGGCAACAAAAGCAGCTATTCTACAAATACCAGTTTCGAAGCCACACTTTGTTTTAAGAGCTCAATCATATTAAATTGAAAACCTAATTAAATTGGTTACCTTGCAAAGCCAAAGTCTCCAATTTTCAGTACTGGAGTTACATCTTTGGTTGACAGGAGTAAGTTCTGAAATTTTGAGCAAGGAAAATCAGTAGAAAAGTAAACAGAAAAATATGAATATCCAGTTTCCATCACATTGAAACTAGAGAAAAGTAGATGCCATATGACGGTTAACCACTAAAAGATTTTTCTTTTGCTTAGCAAACCACTAAAGACATGATAATATCCAAACAAGAAGTATTAGAATACAATATGTGTATCTTGTATGAGTGATTTATGTGTCACTTTAGTTTCCATCCAAACCATGGGGTCTATTAAAGGATCCTCATATCTATGATACAGAGATTACACTTTATAATATGGCATAACACAAACTAATAAGAAAATCCTACTAAAAGCATATAAGATCAAGCTTTAAGATAAGACATAATACCTGTGGCTTTAAATCCCTGTGAATAAGATGTTTTTCTTGAAGCACCTGCAATCCTGCAGCTGCACAAGATGTTCCACAAATTGCAAGTTATGACCTTTCACATTCATTTAAACAGCATAACAGCAAAAGACGTACAAAAGCTAAACACAGGGGGTGGATAAAGGAATAAACTCTCTGCAACACACACTTTTAAATATACCCATTGCCCATTAATTTGATTGAATTTCAACAGCCCCAATCGAATTCCACATCCAGTTGCCCAACCAGTTTTCTATTTTAGGACAAAGTTGACGGACAAGTTAAAAAATCATAATATTAGCATGACAGGACAATGAACATGAACAGCCAAAAAATTCCAAGTTTGGTAATGGCAGCATTATGCATACCCGTTTGCCCAAACATACAATCATAAATACTGACAATAATTAAACAGCCAGAACTTTATATATATGATTGAGACTTAAAATAACAAACCCAGTCACCCAAGGACCAAACATTTAGTTTTAACAACTGTCACTGAAAAGCTAAAAGTTTCTTCTTTTACTCTTGTCTGAGGTGCAGAAAACAACACCCAATTGCCTAGAGATTGAAAATATGAATTAGAATCTAATTAAACAGCCAAAGTAACTTGTGTGCGAGGTAAAGCACAAAGGGCATAGTCTAAACAACATACCCAATTGCCTCATGAAATGCCTGGCAACATGCTCTGAGACTTTCCCATGGCGACGTATGTAATCCCCAAGATCACCACCATCACAATACTCCAACACTAGGTATATCTTATCCTCATTCTGCATCCGAAACACAATATCAGGCATAAAAATAAGCATCCAAAAAAAAAAAAAAAAAAAACCCACAGAAAAAAGAGGGCATTTAATAACACCATCAACATCAAAATTCAAACACCTCAATTGCCTCGAACAGGCGGATAATGTTGGGGTGATCAATGGTGCTCAGAATCGAAATTTCCTTGAGCAGATTTTCACTGACTTTAGAGCTTAACAATTTCTTATCAATCTCCTTCACCGCAACCTCCATACCCAGTTGCCTATGCGTCGACCTCCACACAACCGCAAACGAACCCGACCCAATTTTAGGACCCAGTATGTAGTCCCCCACGAGTCGAGGCTGAGTCGGACCCCCGAGATCCATCGTCAACGACGAGAATCAGTTGACTGAGTACTGGGTTTTTCTTCTGGTAGCTAAAATATAGTCGTCATCGTCGTCGTCTTGTTATCGTTTTCGTCGCGGATTGTGTTGGGTTTGTGCATCGTGAATTTTTGCAAACAAAGAGTACAGATTTTGAGTCCGTTGCACCTTCTTGTTGGATTATGTTTTCGCTTTTGTGTGGAAACGACGCCGATATTTCCCCGCAGTTGCAGCAGATAAATTTCTTATCACAATACCATTTTTTAAAGATGTTATATTGTTTTTTTATTTTATTTTATTTTATTTTACTAGCAGATGGTTGTTATTAGAGTTTTAGACCTATTAAAAATTTTAAAGTAATATAGAATAGAGGTTAATGCACGTAGACTTTGACTCTCAAAAAAATTGAGATTTTAACATGTATTTAAAAATTAAAATTTTAATTTAAAATTTTAAAACTTAATCAATTTTAAAATTTAAATATTAACATTTAATAAAATAAATTTTTAAATTTTAAATTAAAATTTATTAATAAAACCACGTAATTTAATATTAAAATTCTAATCCTTTTTAAATTTAGGATTGATATGTAATTTGATTAAATTTTTATTAGTAAATATCGTACCATATATATTTTCTTTTCTTACCACTTATATATTATATTATTAAAAGTTCTAAATTTTTTAGGAGAAAAAAATATTCTAAGCTATTTTTGTATGAAGCCAATTTCAATAAGTTGAAGCCAACACAATTTTTTTCTTTCAATTCTTATTTTATAAGGGGAAAAAATAATTTTGGCATCCGAATTTAAAATTGGTAGGATCATAATTTGGTTGGTGTCCATATAAATTCTAATGGTATTTTTTTTGTTGATGAGGTTCATTCTTATCTTATTTTTGATGATTTCCTCTTTCTTTTTTTTTTTTTTATCTTTGTTTCCCAGAAAGATAAGGGAATAATTTCTTGGAAATTTCTCAGTTCCACCAAAGTACTAGAGATATCTTGTACAAAACTTCAACTTTACTTGTTGACATCAGTTCTTATGACCAGTAAACATGCTGAGTTTCTCATGTTAAAAGGGAAAAAAAATGTATGTAAAGAATAAAGATGAACCTTTCTTTATTATGCCACTAATTTGGCTTAAAGAAACTTTGATTCCCAATGTCACCTCTTTTTTTTTTTTTCTAAGAGATAGAGTCATTCTTTGTATTAAAGATTTATTTACACATAAATTTTATATATTATATTTACATAAAATCTTAATAATTTATCTTTTTATTTTTAATAATTTAGATTTATTTATTTTTTTATCATATTTATTAAAGATAATTATCTTATTTATTTAAAAAATTATGATAAATTTCAATTATAAAAAATAAAGAGATAATGATTAAAATTTTATAAAAATGTAATGATATATAAAATTTATGTATAAGTGAATCTTTATTATATATATTAATGCTGTATTTTTAGATCAATTTATACGTCTTTCAATATTAATCTTTTTTTTTTAATTTAATTAAAGACTACCATATACATTAAAACTAAAAAATTTCATGAACCATTAGCTTCTTATTACCCCTCCCTTCCAAGAAATTGACGACTCAAACATTAATTTTTTTCCGTGGCAGCAACACTTTATTTCATGGTTATAACTTATAAGTGAATAAATATCTAAATAGTTAATGGGAGGAAGATTTGCCTCACAAATGAACAGTAACTGTCCTCCCTCTCACAGTTTTTTTTCTTATTTTGCCCTTGATTGTTCCTTTTCCCTTTGTCCTTATACTCTGACCTTTTGGTCTTTTTACAAAAATATTTTTGTTGTTTCCTTTTTAATCCTTGGACCTTGCTCTTCTCTTAGCTTTTATTAGGGGGTGAAATGGGTATTTAATGATTAAGTGACTCTATTAACCCAATATGATTTTTCTCTTTTGCCCTTACATTTTATCCAGTCTCTTGAGTTTGGGGTTTTTTTTGGTCTTTTTGAGTCAAAATATTGCTGCTTTGTTCAATCATATTACATTACATTGTTTTCCTTTTTATGTTTGCCTTTGGAATTAGACTGGATTGCAGGAAGGGTTTTTTTAAGGGTATAATAAATATATTTTTAGTAATTAATTTGCATGAAAAAGGGAAAATATTGACTTTTAATTAATTAATTAATCAATTAAAATAATTCATATGTTAATGTTGTTAAAATAAATATTAATTTTTATAATTTTTTTACGTAAATTAATTAAAAATATATATTAATTGGACCTATAAGGAAATAGGTTAGACAAACTCTTGTAGAAAAGCTAACATAAGAGAGGAAATTTAGAATCTAGTCAAAATAAAATCTTTGATGAATTGAAACAACAACACTAAGCCACCATTTTTGGAGGAAAAGTGTAAATAAGGATATCAAATTTATATTTTTTTATTTAAAAATATTAATTTTATTAGTTTCTAAATAAGAATGTTAATTTTTAACTTTTTTTTAAAGATATCAACTTTTAACTTTTTCTATTTAAAGATATTAATTTATTGGTGTTTTCCTTGCTCCTATGAGTTGTTTTTACGGCTCTTGAAATTCTTTTATAAGCGATTTTCACATTCCTCTTTTTGGCCATAACACGTAGAACTTTTTTCAGATTCCAAATTTCCTTTTTTTTTTTTTTTTTTTTT